TTTTCGAGATATAAGCCATTGTCTGTAAAACAAATTTGAAAAAATAACAAGGATTTTCTAAGACTTTCAAATATGGCTTTTTAAACTATATCTGTTTAAATTATAAAAAGAAAAGCAGGGGTTAGCGGGCAAAATTTTCAATGGCAATACATGGATAAAACCAGAGAATTCCAAATATCTGACAAAAATTCAAAAGCAAGAGGAGCGAACATCCTTAAGTGATGAAAACAGATGATATCAGCATCACAAAGCAGCAGCATGATAACAATGTGGTCTGCACAAATAAGTAGTGTTCTGAAGAGTATTCTAGTAAGTGCCTGTTTGCTTTAGATATCGCACACCAGAAAGTCTAATAAGATCGGATATAAAGTACAATATGAAGCGGATGGCTGATGGCATCGATACTTGAAAAGTTAAAATACACGCAATGACTACTTTTCGTTTTGTGATGTGAATGCTAATCTAAATAGGAAGTGAAATTGCAACTATCTTTTGTATACCAAGCAAAGATGTCAGTCGTACAAAACTGAATGGAACATGTTACAAATGTAGATGTATTAGAAGTGTCGAAACTGAGCAGTACAGTGTGGTATATATATAACATCTTTTGCACTGACAAACATCGTTGCAGATACACTCATATTGACTCTGAAATATATGTTCAAGTCCATTCGAAGAACACAAAGTAAGAAAGTCAGCATGAGTTTAACCTTGCATAAGTATTGTAGCAGGTGATATCATATTTTCCCGACACAATATCTCAAATACGATCACTGAGTTAAAAAGCATTGAGACATATAATAAAAACAACCGGTTGTCGAAAATCATAGAAGATTGTTATGTTTATCGAATATGAGAGTTTGGATGTATGGGCTTCAATACAGAATAGAGAATAATGGGCAAAAGGTGCAGAATAAAGGGCAAAAAAAAAAATAATATAGAAAAATAGGCCAAACAAATAAAGAATAGAGCAAAATAGGTTAAAAAAACAGAATAGAGAAATATAGGCCAAACAAATAAAGAATAGATTATGGTGTTAAAACATATAGAATAGAGAATAATGGACATAAACGATACAGAATGGAAAATTTTTTTCAAAAAATTTCAAGAATTAAAAAAATGAAGGACCCGCATCAAGACCCTCGAATATAACTGAAAACACAAAGAAACCATTAGACATTCTTGTTAAAATGTCCGTCGTTAAAAGGTACATGTACATTCCATAAATAAATGGAAAAACTGTTTTGATAAATTTTTAAATTGTAATAATCAGACCATTGACACTAATGTTAATATTAATATTCCAGATGATTTTTTAGATAGGGAAATATTGTTTCAAGAAGTGCTGTTGCTAAAAGTAAAAATGGCAAGTCACCTGGTATTGATCAGTTGTCAGTAGAATTATTAAGAAATAATGCATTGATGTTAACTTTGCATAAGTTATTTAATATATGTTTCAAGTATGGAAAAATTCCTTCTGTATGGGGTAAAAGTATTATCACCCCAATTCCTAAGTCTTCAACTTCAGATCCACGAGATCCTTTATCATACAGGGGCATAACTTTAGCTCCTTGTGTATATAAATTATATTGCAGTGTACTAAATGATAGATTGGTGTATTGGTTAGAACAAAGAGATATTATTCATGATGAGCAAAATGGCTTCCGTAAAGGTAGAAGTACCATTGACCATCTAGGTACATTAACTTCAATTATTGAAACTAGAAATCTGAAAAAGTTATCAACATTCACAGCTTTCATAGATTTTAAAAAAGCGTATGATACTGTTAGTAGAAAATTATTGTTTACTAAATGGGATGATTTAGGAATTAGTACACATTTTTAATGTACATTGAAAGCTATATATTCACATAGAATGTTGTTTTAAACTTAATGGTAATATGACAGACTGGTTTAGCGTTAATTCAGGTTTAAAACAAGGATGTGTATTATCGCCTGTTATGTTCAATATTTTTATTAATAGTTTAATTGATGTAATAAAAGCACTAGACATTGGTGTAGACATTGACGGTGAAAAAGTTAGTATACTTTTATATGCTGATGACATTGTATTTATTGCTGAAAATGAAAATAATTTACAGACTCTAATAGATGTATTAAGTAGTTGGTGTGTTACCAATTGTATGAATGTGAACTTAGATAAAACTAAAGTTATCCATTTTAGGAACCCTTCGGTTCAACAAACATCTAAATCTTTTTTGTTAAATAATAATACAGTACAAATAGTATCTTGTTACCAATATCTGGGTCTACTGTTGACAGAATATCTCGATTATAATGAGATGGCTAAAGCTGTAGCAAGGTCGGCAAGTCGAGCTCTAAGTTTATTGATTGTTAAAAGTAAAGCACATGATGGTTTCCAGCACAGTACCTTTACAACATTATTCCATACTCTGGTGTGGTCAGTCATAAGCTACGGTGCATCCATTTGGGGCACTCGTTCATTTTCTTGTATAAACGCTGTCCAGAACAAAGCTATCAGGTTCTTTATGGATGTTGGCAAGTATACGCCAAATGATGGTTTTAAAGGGGACATGGGCTGGAGACCACCTAGTGTAAAACAATGGACATGTATCTTTAGGCACTGGGCAAGATGTAGTGTCATGACCAATGACAGAATAAATTATAAAGTTTTCAAATGGTCACATAAAAATGCTGTGAATAATAAGAAAAACTGGTATAATAGAGTCATGAAAAAAAACTTAAAGGTTGTAATTTTGATTTGTGTACTAGTATTGATAGTGTGCTGCATAAGAATATTGTTCTACAACTTGAAAACGTTATATTTAATAAATATATTGCAGAATGGCACACGAAAATTTTGTCACAAGGTAATGGTAACAAGCTTCGTACTTATAAGCTATATAAATCACAATATTGTACAGAGTTATATTTAAAACAAAATATGTCTATTAAATTTAAAAGTGCTTATGCAAAATTTAGGTGTGATGTTGCTCCACTTAAAATAGAAACAGGACGATATGAGAATAAACCAATAAATGAAAGATCTTGTTTAATGTGTAAAAATGAGATTGAAGATGAAAAACATGTATTTACTTTATGTCCTTTATATGCAGACCTTCGAAATATATTGTATAGTGAAGCAGTAAAACATAATGATCAATTTTATAACTTGTCTAATGACGAAAAGTTTATATTTTTATTCAGAAATGAAGAACTATGTCAGGTAGTTGCTAAAACCTGCTTTAATATTTTATGTAGAAGAACAAATTTCTTATTTGTATATAGCTGATGATGTATTTTAAATCTTAGATATAAATAGTTTTAAAATTATGTTAAATATTGTATATAATTAATCATTTAATAGTCTCTCATAATTCTTAATAGAATGGCGCTTGTATATGTTTTAGTATTTAAGCTAATGATATTTTACTGTTAGTTTTAATATATTATATGTTTTATATATGTTTTTCAATATTTTTTGTTATACGCAATGTTTTATATGTATATTGGAATGTATAATGTTATACAAGTGGTGAGACTTTAATAAAATATTGAATCTGAATCTGTAATAGGACTAGTCTTAATAGTCGCTTTGTGTTTGTTTCAAACGATCGACTCGTAGTTCTTATCAACTGATGCACATTTAAATTTTACATGAAAATAAGCTAGAATACTTGTGTGATTTTCAGAACAGCCATAACTTACTTAAACTATTGATGATTACAACTGTGGACGGTCAAACACCTTAAAATCATCAATTTTAATATTGATCTTTACTAGTTATCGTACATAAAATCACGTTTTCATTTCGAAAATAATTATTTCCACCATCCCCAAGCGAGACGATAACCAATATTACTTATAAAGTTCACTTACCTGAACTTCTTATAATGAAGACCCAATGTTGACTTCTGGATGTTTTTTTAATGATTTATTTAATTGTGTTGTCGCATAGCTGTTCCATTCATTTCATATTTCCTATTATTCATGTTATAATTGTTGATTCCAAATCGAAATTATATATAAATATGCCACAATAACTCCGGTATAACACATGAAAACGTGAGGAGCTATAAGACCACAAGATACATAAAAATGCTAACCAAATTCAACAGATTTCAACGTTGTCTAAGGGAGTTGTAACATTAATGTTCAAATAATTATCTTTTTAACGGAGAATTTAAGAATCAAACATGTTATAAATCATGACAATACCAACGCAGTGAGGTGGAGGGTGGAGGGTGGATGGTTTAAGGATTCGTCAACATAACGGAAAAGGGGACTTATTGTGTTAACACGCAATCGGCTATGAACATGATGAAAAGTTGGGCAACTGATGACTGTTTATTCTTTTTTATTCATCTTCATGCTCCCGCCACCGACCTTCGATAGGAAAACTGACAATCCTAGTCAATTAAGATTGGAGCCGAGTGCACCCACACGAGCGGGGTTCTAACTCACAACCTCAGTGTTGACTGGCTAGTGATTACAGTAGTAACAGTTACTTAGACCACTCGGCCACCGAGGCCCCTGGATAATGATTGAAAACATGTAAATGGATAATGATTGATAACATGTAAAACATGTAAAACTTTTGTCGAAGTTACATTTAAATCTCAAAAGTAATAGTGGCAGAAAAAAAAAACATTTTAAAATCAAGCTCTGTTTTATGTAGTAAACAAGATGGATGTCCTGGTGTATCAAATGAGGCTATGTATTGTAAAGTGAAAAAAATTGACATCTTGTAGTGTCACATCAATTCTAAAATTGGTCAATGGTAAGAAACGAACGTCTTTTTGTATCAAATAATTTTCTGTTCTATACATTGGAAAAAGGGACGTTTTTTTTTGGATCAAATCAACCTCTGTTATTACAGAGAAAAAGATCGACGTCTTGTTGTATCAGATCAATCTCCATTTTGCATAGTAAAAAAAAGATGGCCGCTCTGTTGTATCAAATAAGTATCTTTTTTTATGGTGAACAAGAAGGACGTTTTATTAGAACCACGCGATGCTGTTAATTAAAAAAAAAAAAAAAAAAAAAAAAAAAAAAAAAAAAAAAAAAACTGAATGCAAGTTATAATGCACACAATTGTTCGATTCTGTTTCCGAAGTTGTCCATATAAAGAGCAACTTTTACAAAATTCTTATATTTTGTATATCTGAATGTACACATGATTATGGTTGTTTTATTAATATCCTTTTACGTGTTGTTGTATTTATCTTATTCAAAATTCTCAATTAAACATAGGGTTAATTAGCATAACAAGAAATAATAGAATAGCTACTTGAATTTTATTGAAGTATATACAAATTATAAAACATGTTTTATGTAATGTTTTGTTGACTTAAAACATATGAAATAATTTGGTATATGAGATTGTTTGGTTAAAAAGTACTGGTTATTGGCTGAAAAAATTCTGCGCAAAAGCATTTTGAAAAACAAGTGTATAAATGACGTCATACAAGAATTGACATTTCATGATTTTCTAAATTAGCTGCTGTTCTAGAAACCGAATAATATCTTATATGTATATGGACAAATCAATTCAGTATTGATACTTATCTCCCTTATCGTTAACGGCGGCCCGTTCGTGATAATATCGGTGATAACACAGTGTAGGACTGTATCTAATTAAACAGTGTAGGACTGTATCTAATTAAACAGTGTAGGACTGTATCTAATTAAACAGTGTAGGACTGTATCTAATTAATCAGTGTAGGAATCTATCTAATCAAGCAGCGTAGGAATCTATGTAATTAAACAGTGTGGGACTCTATCTAATTAAACAGTGAAGGAATCTATCTAATTAAACAGTGACTATCAATGGTATTATTTAGTTGCTAAATAAAAAACAGTATTTAATGTTTACACGTAATTAATCCGCAATGCATATTTAAGTTGTGTCGATACTTGTGTTTGTTTTTTTTGTATCGTCTTATGTTTTGATAACTTGACCTTAAACGTAAATGACACAAATTCAGAATAGATCTTTATTGTTCGATATCAAGTGGCCAAGTCAACATTTAAATATAGTTATACACAAATTATGAATTAACGACATAAAAAACATACATTCATATATAAAGAACTTTAAATATAAGTTCTATAGATTCTCAAATAATCTTTTAATAAGGGAACTATAACGCACATTAATGCATTCTTTAAATATATTGAAAATAGAATAGATTCAAAACTCAAATTGGATTGTTTATAATTATTTACCAAACCAAATATTTTATTTTAAATGTATAATTTGCTCTTACGAAGTAAATAGATGCAGATATATAAACCATGAGACGACTGGATGCAAAGCAATACTAATTAAATGCTAAGAAATGATTAAAGCGAATTAAAATAAAACATTTAATTTTGGCAAATTATTACAATTTCATATGAAAAAACAATAATAGACGTTAAAGTTAATTCAATCAATGTTCAGCACCATTTATCAACAACACTTTGCTCACAAGTCTATATCCAGCGGGTAACAATAAATCTGAAATGTCTGAATCCATTGCGAAATAATCCGAATCCAAATTATCAGGTATAAACTAAGTTGCTCGATCGTCCTTTAATCACTCAATTACATTGTAAATTCGTCTATCCACAGTAACAAATCAGCAAGGAACATACGCTGAAAAATAAAACTTCCACAGAAAATGAGAATGAAACTACTGATCATAAATATTGGGTGCGATAAATAATGGGAGGGTTAGTTTTCGGCTATCAACGGCAGAATGAAAAACTTTAATTCATTTAAATCACAAGTCTATAAAGGAACCAATCAAAATGCATTGTTGTGCTATAAAATTCATAACAAGTTGTATCATTAGCTAAAAGTAAAAAACCGAAATAATTCGAACAGTATAAAGTCTATTTCTTTAATCTCCAGTCGCCAATTATATATTTTTAATTAAAAATAGCACAATTTAATCTTACGAAGTAAATAGACGCAGATATATAAACCATGAGACGACTGGATGCAAAGCAATACTAATTAAATGCTAAGAAATGATTAAAGCGAATTAAAATAAAACATTTAATTTTGGCAAATTATTACAATTTCATATGAAAAAACAATAATAGACGTTAAAGTTAATTCAATCAATGTTCAGCACCAAAAAACCAACGGCCAAACAGTTAACAAAGCACATTGATTGATAATAAACAAAATTTAAAAACAATTTAAGTTATAGGGCTCTTTTAAAGCCATGTTTCACCTTATACAAAGATCAGAATGAAAACAAAAATAATAATAATACTGACATGAATGGTCAGAAATCAGAAAATCTCACTGACATGAACGGTCAGATATTTCTAACAAAAATATGATAATACCGACATGAATGGTCAGATATCAAAAAAATACTACTGACATGAATGGTCAGATCTTTCTGACAAGAATGGTCAGAAAACAAAATAACCCATAAAGGATATATACAAATCACCCACTACTGTAAGCACAATTATACAAAATTAGTACAGAATAAGATTGCTCCTTCTGTTTAAAAGTAACAAGATGAGACTAAACATCCTCTTGTTTAACAATGTGTCAATACTTGAACAAAAAAATTTGTCAACTTTAAATTACCAAAATAATTCAAATATAACCTACAGATGGGTGAATAAAGTTCACAAACTGGCATCCCAAACTTCAAAAAAGGTTTATAAGTAGCTAAAAACTGAACACCACGTTTAAAACATAAACTTCTTAATCTAGAGTTAATAGTGGTAAAAAAATAACATGTATTCTGAAAATCAAGTAAACGTGGAATGATTGCTGACATAACTATTACAGTATGTGGCTTAACTAATTTCTCAATTGTAGAGATAAGCACGTTATAGGCTATATCAAAATCAGCAACCTCATAGGTACCAACATTATTGGTTCCTACATGCACCAGAATTATATCATAATTTACCTGAATTGTTCCACAATTAAGCAAATTTATTATGTCCCAAATATTTGCTCCAGGAAAGGCTTGCAAGTGACACCTTCTAATAGTTTTAACATGCTTTGCTATGGAATCGCACACCAGAGTAGACCTAGAATCTAAAAAGAGCAAATTTATTTTAAAACAAAGTTTTTAATTTGTTCCGCTACATTGCTTTTATCAGACAAAGAACTAACAATATATTTAGTATAGCAATTGCTCTTCCAATCACCCATCAATTGGATAGAACTAGGAGAAACCCCTGCTTTCGAAGCCAACGTTGCTCCACCTCTTCGGAAACTATGTGAAGAAAATAATTTTGGATTTAACCCAATTTTACAAAGTAATTCTCTCAGTTTATTCTGAAACTGGTTATAAGTAATTGGCATGCATTCCCCCTTTTTTGTACAAGAAAAAGCGGCACCATCCGAAGTGCAAGGATTTAAAGAACACATCCTGTTATATGCATTTACAGGGCAAAATTTAGATAAAGGATATGCAAGCAAAGGTATCCTTAAAATACGATTACCCAACTGAATTGTTTTTGTCCATTTGAATGCAACTATTATAAGAGATGGAAAGACTGTAACATCACCTTTGCATAGCTGTTTGTTTTTGTCAAATTTCTTGGTTGATACTGGAACTAAATTAGACTTCCTGCTTAAAAGTAATAAAGCAAAAAGAAATAAACACCAATATGTCGCATCAAGAGGAGTATTCAAATTCAAATGTTCACGAAATTTTCCTAGAATTTCTAAAGTAATAGGAAATGCCTGTTTAGGTAAATGTTTTAATTTCCTATCTAACCCTTTCATCGTCAATTTCAATTCGTAAGACGAAAACACATCCACGTGTAATCCTAACAACAGGAAAAGAACTTTAATTCCATTTAAATAATTGCGAATAAATTGAGCTGATCTGAAACTTCTACTGAGAAACTCCGAATAAGTACATAATAACTCAGCATTAATATCAAACGGTTCTAAATGAAAGTAATTACAAAACAATAAATAGGCTCTCCACTGCGTTTTAAAATTAACCAAAGTACCTTTCGCGAAAGCCGAAATCCTAGTCAAAAACATATCTCGTCTTAGCACTTGCAAATCTACAAATACATGAATAAGCAATTACCAAATATGTTCAAACTGAAACAATTCTTTAGGAATAGAATCTCTAGATAGAGACATGCCTTTTGTCCTCTCGTAAAATTCTAACTGAAATTTATAACCTAAATCCCATCTAGACAAAAGATCCGGTAAACGGTTATCGCAACCTGAAATATGTATAGCTTTTAACTCAAAATTATTTAAAGCTGCAATCCAACAAACTTCCCGCAAACACGACTGCAGGAACACATTTCTGGTAGCGCCTGTATTCAAAACACGAACTGATACCAAATTATCGCAATAAATAACCACATTTAAATTTGTAAAATATTTACCACATAATTTTAAGGCTACTACAATCGTCAACATCTCGAATAAATTTATATGCAAATTTTGATCTAAAATGAACTCCGGAAATGAACAGTGAAAGTATCTTCCGCCCATCCATCCGCCACATCCTGTCAAACATGCATTAACAGAAAACAATTGATCAGGATTTGAGAATTCATCAGACAAAATCATAGAAACCCCATTATAACCAGGCAAAAATTCCTGCCACCACAATAAGTCAAGTTTAAAATCAGCTTGAATGACTAATTTCCCTTTATCAGGAAAATCTCTTAACCAATTCAAAAGTCTTGAGACAAAAATTCGGCCAGAACGCACACATTGAGATACAAAATTTAATTTTCCCAGCAATGATTGTAATTCTCTCTTTGTACAATCTGTGCTACAGAGCCAATTCGAAACTAACTGCAGAATCTCTGACAATCTTTGAGTATCAATAGAAATTGTCATATTCTCAGAATCAAATAAAATGCCAATAAATATCATTTTTGTACTAGGCGGACAGGCTTTCTCAATTGATTCTTCAATGCCACACTTCTTTAAAATAAGACCCAATTTAGCATAAGCATCATCATTGCTGGAAGGAATATCACATCCAGCCAAATCATCTAAATAGTTCAAAATATCTACACCCATGTTTTGACATATAAATGCAATAGCATTTGTTGTTCGCA